AATCTATGCAAATGGTGCCCTGAGCTGGTTCCAGCAGGAGGGTCTGTCAGTTCCGGAACTCCCTTATTTCAAAGGGTACCTCCATTTTCTTTCAGAATCAGGGACTGACTGGAGTGAAAGATCAAGCCATCAACACAAATTGTACAACACCCACTACTATATATACCTAATAGAAGACATGGGCTAGCTGAGGAGATAAAACTACACGGCACAGGAAAAAGATGACAAAAGAGTAGGAAAACAAGGGCTGTGTGTAGAGGCAGCTGTGGAGATGAGCAAGGGGAGACGCTGGTGGGAGAGAGGTTGTAGAGCAGCGGACGGGACTGAATGCATTACCACCAAGCAGTCCTGTCCTATGTGGCAGGGTGAGAAGTATGCATGACTTTTTGTGGTTTAGGGACCTATGCGGGGTTGGAGGTGGGGAGGACTACTAGGGGCTCATATCTTTCATATTTTTTTTCCCCACAGGAAAGCTTCTAAAGAGAAGTCACCTTTCTTGAACCCAAAACACTAACATGGGGTATGAGGTCTGGAGCCCTTCAGAAGTCCTTGTCAAACCCCTTCTCATTTATCCTGTATCAACGAAAGCATGTGGATACTGTCCAGGTGGTTTGCTGCCATGGAGGCCCCTGTTCAAACGCACTATGACACCAAACAGACTACGGCACATAAAACAGGTACGAGTAAACCACTCAGCTGAGAAGGGCCTGAGCAGTCGGGAAGGCCGAGTGTCTCCTACCCTTGAACAAGAGCTATTTTTTGTGTTTCAAGACTTGACGTCAAACCTAAGCAGAGAAAGGAGAAAGGGGGGACCTCCCCGCCTGCCACACACACTTTTCCTAGCTGCAGATGTCATTTCCTTACTCTCAGGCCATTTCTTCTGCCCCCTTTGTGTGTTCTGTGGCTGGCACAGAGCAGTGTGGGGAGGGGGCTGCAGTGGGGCCTCCCCTGAGTCCTGACTTGTAAAGGCAGAAGGGACTGCAGGCTCTGCACAGAGAGACCTGTGTGCAGGCCGAGATTTTCTAGTGACCTTCCAGGCGGGCCAGGTGGGGTGAAGGCTGGGCAGGACAGCAGGAGAACCCAGGAGGCACAGAGGTAAATAACATCCTCCCCTAGGAGGGCTACTTGAGTGTGGAGCTATTTTCACCACGTCTTCTAGAATCATTAACCAGTTCCTCCTACAAAGCTATCCACAAAGCCAACTGTACGTGAAATGAATATGCAGTGTGAACCAGTGACTCGATGCTTGCCTCTTTATGGGTTCGAGCCAGGACTCGGGCCTCCGAGCAGTCCTGTGAGGAGGGACTCTTGGCTAGCCGGGCTGCATTCTGGAGAGGGCAGGACACAACCTGGACAACTCATTCTGTTCCCGCCACAGATGAAGTTCCCACTTTGTCTGCTCAGTTTCCACGGCTGACCTATCCAAAGCCTAAAGAATACTGTGTCCCAGATCACAATGCCTCACTGTCTGAGTGCCTTCCCTGTTTCCTGGTAATATCATTTCCCGGAATGCCACAGCCCAACTCTGCCTCAGTGCCAGAGCCCTGGCAACACGTTCCCCTGTGCCTCCCAAGTGTGAAGCCTCGAGGTCACCTCACACTCTCCTTCTCTTGCGCCTCCCCCAAGCAGCAGACCCCGGGTCTGTTGAGGCTCCCCCATCCTCTCGTCTCTGTCCCTTCGCCGCTGCCAAGCTTCCAGCTGTTCTCCCTACCCAAGACTCCCTGGCCCACGTCATACACTGCTCCTGGAGAGAGCTCCTCCACCTCGTGCCTCATAACATCATTTAAAACCCTCTGCAGCTTCCCACCGCCCATAGACCTGGTTGCTGCCCTAGCACTCTGTCATTCCGGCCTCTCTCCTTTATCTCCTGTTCCTCTCCCTTGCCTGGCCTCACCTGCTTTCTGATCGCACACGTCGACTCACGGCTGTCCCAGCAGCTCCCAGGTTCCCCCGCAACTCCAGTTTGACATGCTGGAACAGACAGTACTGCTCTGGAGTGACAGCGGGCCAAGCCAACCAAGGCTCAAAACCAGGGAGTGACCTTTAACCCTCAGCTACCTTGCAGTCTACAGCGGAAAGATTTATACTCTATGCTTAGGAAAATCAAGCTGCATCACGGGGTTCCGGACATCAGTAAGAGGCAGAGTAGAGAGCAGCTGGGTGTGGAGCAAGTGCCACCATGCGGGGATACTGCCAACATCTTCGAAATTACAAGGGTCCCGCTTGAATTTGACTTTCTGGGTACATTCACTCAAAATGAGTTGGTTTCGAAAAGGGAGGGGCAAGACATTTTAATATAATTTATGGGAAAGAAATCACTCTAAGGGCTCATTTACTGAGAAACCAATCAGATTAGTCTAATGGTATTTATTGTGTTGGTCTTTTCTCATAAAATAGATTTCCTTAAAAACATTTAATAAATAATTTCATGCAAATAGAAGACAAAGTTAGCAACTCTACTTGTGTTTAACATTTACATGCACCCATAGCTTTTTTTTTTCTGAATCACAGAAAGTAAGTTTCAGGTGTGTGTCTCTTTGCCTTTAATAGTTCATTGTGTACTCCCTAAGAATAAAAACTATACTCTTACAAAGCCACAGTACAATTATCAAATTCAGGAAAAGTCATATCAATTCCAATCTATAGACACCATTCCAATATGGCTGGTGGTTCTAATAGTTTCCTGTAGGGCTTTCCTCCACCAGTGCTGAATCTAGGCCAACTAAACTGCATTTAGTTGTTATAGAATTTCTTCCCTTTTCACATTTCACTCTTTTAGGAACCAAGATGAGGAATACAAAACGAGATAAGCAAGATTTTACATTTTTAAATTCTTTTAGAGGCGTCACATGGCGAGTTTTACATGCAGATAGCACTCACTCTAGAATTATTGATTTCTATTTAGTTTTTTTTTTTTTTTTTTGTTACCAGGGGTCGAACTAGGGTCCTTGTGCTTGGGAGGCAGACGGCGGAACCAGTGAGCCAAATCTCACCCCCCTACCCCTTTTTTTTGAGACATGGTCATACTATGTAGTTTAGGCTGGCATGAAACTCACTATGTAACCCAGGCTGGCCATGAACTCCTGGCGATTCATCTGAATGCTGGGATTACAGGCATGTGCTACCATGCCCAGGTGATATCTATTCTTAAAAAAATAAAAATAAAAAATAGGAGAAGGGAGACAATGGTAATACATTTTTACTGAAAATGAACTTCAAAAACCTCTGAAAGAAATAAAAGTAGTAGGGCAAAGGCTATATATTGAAGATTAAGGGAAGATATCCACCTGTGAACTCACTATGAAATTCTCTTTCCCATCTTTGGTGGAGAGGGCCTTGGGGAAACCTACTGAGTATTATATTCCATTAACACTTTTTTTTTTTAGTACTGCAGATTGAACTTGTCACCTTGTGCTTGCAAGGCAGGCAGTGGCAGCACTGAGCTAAATCCCCAGCCCTATTTCCTTAACAATTTACTGAGTACTTGCCTGGTGCTCCTAGTATCCATTTGAGGAAAGCCAGCAATTAGAAAAAGGAATGCACTGATAAGAGCAGAATTTTGAATATGGAGAAGAATGGTGAGGGGCTGAGGTGGGCACAACATGGCATGCACATCCCCCACAACACTGTTCGTGTGTCCCCCGAGGAGAGGCTAACCTGGTCCTGCAGTAGAATCACTTACAGACAGTGCAAAACTACCTTCTTAAAAGCAGACTGAGCATTACGGCTGGGGACTCAGATACCAGAGAGTCCCACATGCCAGGGACCCTCCAGGAGTGCAGCCCTTGCAATGACACAGTGAGCATCCTTCCCCACCCCCAGCACTGGGATGGGGCCTCTGAGTCAGTTACAAACTGGCTGGCTGCTTCGTCTCCTAGCTGGCTGTCTGCTGTGGGGAACTTCTTTGCTCAGCTTGTGAGCCTGCCTCAGAATGGCTTTCTCCCTTCTCACTGGGCCAGGCAACCTGGACGCCTCTCTGGACACCCATCCTTAGGCATGGGGCATCCACCAACACTGTCACTCTCCAGACGGCCACTGGACAGTGGGGTGACTGTGCTTCTGCTCCACCTGTTTCTTGTCCTTTGCTTCTAGCAGTACATTTTTTACTCTCAGGTAGGTTCCCTTCTGCAGCATACAAGACAGCCCCACAACCCAGGGCTGTGGATCTGAGTTCAGAACCCTTGGCTCTGCTTTCCTGGGTTTTAATGTCCTTACTAAACACAGAGCCAAGGCACAAAGACAAGAAACCTGGATGTACATGGCCAAACTTGTACATGGCCGTGATTCTGTCACAGGCAAACACTCATGCAGGAACAAAAGGATGTGTGTTATTCTTGGGTTATGTAACCACACAGAGAATCGAGATTTAGCCTTATTTAAAACAGATGACTATGTAATTAATGAAAGACCAAACACTGTCTGTTAAATTCCTACTTTTGAAAACAATTTTTCTCTAGGATGTCTGCCAGCAAATTATGGCTAGTAGATCAAATCTGCGAAGTCTTCTATTCTTGTAAATAGTTTTATTGGAACACATTAGCCTATTTGTTTACCCGTTTTTGTTTTTTGTTTTGTGGTACTGGGGCTTGAAACTAGGGGTGCGCTATCACTGAGCTGCATCTAGACCCACCCCCCTTTTGGTACGTGGGATTGAACTCAGGACCTTGCGCTTATGAGGGACGTGGTGCCACTGAGCTAAATGCCCGGCCCTTAGAGCCGTTTTCATTTTTTATTTTGAGACAGGGTCCTGCTAAGATGCCCAGGCTAGGCTAGAACTTGTGTGATCCCTGTCTCAATCTCTGAGTAGCTGGGATTAGAGTCATGTACCACCATACTCAACTGTTTTGTTTTTGGCTGTTCTCCCACTAAAATGGCAGAGCTGGGACAGAGAGTGACTGGCCAACAAAACCTGAAACATTCACTATCTGGTTATTCATAGAAAGGTCCACCAATCCCTGTCCTGGAGCAATAACATGATGCAAAGGGTGAAAACAAGGTACCTGTTGCCTGGCAGGTGTTTTCCTGTGACAGGGCAGTCGTCACAGTTTCCGTGGCTGCATCTCGTACGGCTTGCTCTTCACTCTGTAGGAGGATCAGGACACATCTCCAGAGAGCAAGTGTGTCCTGCAAGTCTAAGACCAAAAGGAATTCAAATCACTCAGAGTGTGGTTGATAAACAGGTATAGATCCTGCTTCAAGTCCATGTGGTAGGACTGGATGCAGCCCTGGGTGAACTCAGCCATTCCTCTATTTCTGGATACTGGCTGAGAAAAGGTCCTGGGCCCAGCTCTCCTGGTGTCATGGTTCTCAAGCATGAAAACTTTATGCTTTTCAGAAACTGGCCCAGTGGGGACCACAGTGATAGTGTCAGCTTCTCAGTTCTGAAAGCCAAGAATCAATCAAGGTTATGCTTTAGTGGCAAAAAATCAAAGAAGGGGAAGAGTCCAGGAATAAGGCACCAACCTGGGTAACATGTATATGGGGGTCCATGACCTGCTGCAGTTACCTATGAGCACTGGCTCTGCTAGTTGGCCTGTGCTAAGTGCTGCTGCAGGTAACAAACAGGAAGACAGCGTCTGCCTCTGGGTAACAGACAGGAATGCAGAGTCTAGAACAGACCCCATTAGCAGTCACTAACGAAAATGGGGCGGGGGAGATGACAAGGGACTGCTATACTTGGAATGGATGTCACGGTGGCACGGGGTGGGGGCGGCGTCACAGATGGGACACCTGTCACGCAGCAGGGGGGCTCAGGCTTGCAGAGAGGGGAGAGCCTCCATCTCAGTGGAGGGCTGTGGTAGGGCACCACCCAAACTAGCACCTCGCACCCCACCCATGTGACCCTTGCCTATTTTCCTTCTCTGCTAGCCGCCACCGGTGCTTAGGTCAAGCCAAGAACAGTAAAGGCTTCATTTGGCATTTTGCTCTTTCCTTCCTGTCCCAGAACTGTCTTTAAATTTTATGCAGTCTTTCAGAATTCATCCTTTTTATCTGCTCTCTAAAGTTGCCTACTTTTCTTTCTCAGTATTTTCTTTTTGGTTACAGGGGATCAAATTTGGGTCCTTGTACTAACAAGGCAGGTGGCAGAACCACTGAGCCAAATTTCCGGTCCAGCGTTTTCCTTTTTTAACGCAGTCATTTATACCTCTCAAATTCTCCCCTTTCGTCCATTTCCTCTAGTCCCTGTGCACTTTGATCTCATCTGTCACTCAGTATCTGTTTTTCATGTTTTCATGCACCATCAGTTACAGTTGATCTCCTTCATTATAACTCTCACCCCTACTACTTGGGATTGCACTGAGCTACAGCCCTGGTCCTTTTATTTCGAGGCAGAATCTCACTAAGTTGCTAAATAGCTCAGACTCGGTTATGATCTTCCTGCCTCAGCCTCCAAGTGTGCTGAGATTTCAGGTGTGCACCACCACATCTGACTTCCTTTATCATTTCTATAAAGCTACTGCCAGCACTAGCAATTAATTATGAATCAACAGCTTTTCATTTCTACATGGGAATTCCAGGTTATTCCACACACATTTTTCCTGTTATAAGCTTAAGTTAGAGTGGTCAAAGTCACCCAGAAAATGTGCTGCAAAATGGCCTTCCTGGAGAAGCCTGACCAAGAATTGTTTTGTCGTTTTGTTGTGAGACTGGGTCTTGCAATGTTTCCCAAGCTGGTCTTAAAACTCCTGAGCTCAACTGGTCCTTCTGCCTCAGCCTCCCAAGGAGCTGGGACTATAAGCGTGTGCCATTGCATCTGGCTTGACCAAAGCTTGTAAGCCTTTGCTCTTATTCCCCCAGTTCCAATATTAGATAAGGAAGTGCCCTCTCAATCTCTGACTGGGTGGGAAGTTACTAAGAAGAAAGAAGGGAAAGAATATCAAAGAGAATGTTTTCCGGAGAGATACAGGAATAGGAGACACTTCAAAAGTCTGAACTGCAATACTTAAAATTTGGATCCCACCACAGAAAAAAAAAATCCTTTATTATAGAAATCTTTCTCCATAACTCTACTGAATGTTCTTTGGGGGCAGGGATCATGTCTTATTTTTGAGGAATGGAATGGTAAAGAAAACACAGAAGTCTATTGACAGATGGGAAGAGAACCAGTGCGTCGCAGTATGGGGCTGAACATGGCAGGAGAGGGCAGGGTTAGGTCCTGACTGCCACTTCCCCAGTGTCTCTGAGCCTGTCCTCCCTTCTTCCTCATTGCCACAGCTTCAGACTGACCCATTTACTTCTTATCTAGATTAATGCAACATGCTTCCTGGAAGAGGGGATGGATGGACTGAGCCTTATAAGACAAATAAAAGTGAGTGAAGCAGTAGATTGCTTCTAGAGAACTGTTCCCTACTGATGACACACAGATCCGTATTGGGAGTGGTGGATGATGAGGCGGGAGGGCTGGCCACAAGGAACCAGAAAGGGTCATGAGCAGAGTGAAAGAGTCTTTGGATTCCATCCCCAAGGCAAAGGGAACCTCTTCCAAGGTTTTTGGCATAAGCTAAAATGATGACATATATATTTCAGAAAAACCACAGAGGCTATTTGGGTAAGACTGAAAGAGGACTCCACGAGAAAGATGTAAAGGCACGGGGCATGCTACCAGCTCTTACCTTCCCTTCTCACCTAGCGCAAGGATGGTGAACTTTTTAGAGCTTTCAATCGTAACAAACACCCTACTGTGGCATGCGAGCCATAGGTTTGCCCCCACTGGTTTAGCGAGTTTGGTACAACAGGCTCTATCCTCAGCACACTTACCAAGAACTAGACAGGGGTTGGTGAGGACCAGGGGTGTGACGCTGGTGAGGACCTCAGCAGCAGCCAGCCTAGACTCTGTGGGGAGATGGTCTCTGCAGGACAAGATGACCAGCTGCACCCACCGCTTCAGCTGAGGGGCCAGCGAGTCCCTGTTCTGAAAGCACAGAGGTACTTATCAATAGACCTGAGATGCAATCAGGGGCTGACACAGAGGAGGGAGGTGGTACACCAAACTATGCCTGCAAATCAGCTCTACCTTGGCAGGAAGAAGGTTTTAGTTACTTTTCTATCCCAACTAGGTGAAATAAACAAGGCCCATGAGGAACATCTGACTTGTCTTTTGGAAATACAGGGTTATTAAACTATTTATTAAACTAAAGAGCAAGCTCCCTGAGCCTTTTCTGTGCATATCAGGTTATCACAACACTGGTGTATGGGAATGATTGAAAAATATGGTGAGGGCCGGGGATTCAGCTCAGTGGTTCTGCTGCTTGCCTCATAAGCACACGGACCCCAGTTCAATTCCCGGTACAAAAAAAAAGGTGAATATTTAAAAAAATTTACTATAGTAAAAGACACACTGCTATTAATCCCCTTCAAAATCCACCCCCCTTTGCTTTGAACACACTTATCCCATTGTTCTTGCAACTTTCTGAAGCAGTTCTAGAAGTTCTCTTTCATGAGTGTCTTCAGTTGTGCTGTCATGGCTGCCTCAATGTCCTGAAGCCATTCAAAACATTCACCTTTCATGGTCATTTTGACTCTGGGGAAGAGCCAGAAGTCGGACAATGCCAGGTCTGATGAATAAGGTGGATGAAGACTCACTAGTCTTTTTGTAAGCCTGCTTTTCTGCTGGATGGCACTTGGCAGCAGCGTTAATTGTACTTTTCTGTTTTTTTTCAGTACCGGGGAGCAAACTGGTCCTTGAGCTTGCAAGGAAGGCAGAGAAACTACTGAGTTAAATCCCCAACCCTGCATTGCACTTTTTGTGTGTGTGTGGGGCGCCAGGGATTGAACTCGGGCACTTGTGCTTGCAAGGGAGGTGCCGGAACCACTGAACTAAATCCCCAGCCCTTCATTGTGCTTTTGATTACACCTAATAAAGACATTCTCAAAAGCAGACTTCAAAAACTGCTTCAGAAAGTGGTAAGAATGATGGGATAAAAGGGGGAGTATTCTGAGATGGACCATAATAAATTTTAAAAATGTAAACACTCTTCAAATATTATGATCACTCTTTGTATTTGGCAGCTGCAATAAAGACTAGACTTGTGGGGAAGACTATAAATAACTTGCCCAGAATAACCAGATCTTCTTGGTATCTTTACTAATAGAAGCCAAGATTTTTGGCTGGGTCTCTGGGCACCCAGCTAAGGACTACATTTCCCAGCATCCCTCACACAGGGCAGCAGCATGTGAATGCATTCACCTGGGCTGTCACTGGGATGTGCCTTAGGAGATGCCCAAGATCTCTGCCTCCTGGGTTTCCCTCTCGTGCTTGCTGAACAGGGCAAACAGATGATGGGAGCTGGAGCTAACCCTGGGATCACAAGTAGAGGCCACATGTTGAGGACTGCAGAACCACAGATGAGAAGGCCCTAGACCAGCACTGCCAAACCACTGCATCTATGCTGGACAGCTTCCATCTATCTGGTTCAAGCCACAAAATGCATGAGTTCATTTCCATATTTAAAAGCAGCATCCTAACAGGGTGAGACACACCCGTTTTTGCTTTTAAGAAGTAAGAGTTTTATTGAAATGTAATGCACATACCACATAATTCATCCACTTAAAGTGGAAAAGTAACTGGATTTTGGTCTATGCAACTGTCACCACAAATTTATTATTATTTTATACCTTGCTTATTTTCTTAAGCTTGCTTTGTTTTAGATAATTTTTATTCACATGGTTTTGGAAATCATTTACGTTATTTTTCCTTGCAGTGCTAAGAATCAAACCCAGGGCCTTGCACACGCTAGGCAAGCTCTTTACCTCTGAACCACACCCCCAAGCCTAACTTGCTCTTTAAAAACTTTTAAAAAGAATTTTAACTGATAGACGAAAACTTCATGTTTATGGGGCACATCACATGTGATGTTTTAACATAAGTACATACTGAGTAGTTTTCAAATCAGAGTAAATGTTACCTACATCTCTTCCAACAAACAACTTTAGAACATCTTCATCACCATAAAGAGAAACTATACCTACTTAGCTATCACGCCTCCATTTTCCCATTCCTTTGGTCCTAAATAACCACCAGCCTCCTTTCTATCCCTATGGATTGCCTAGTCTGGACATGTAATACAAATGCGATCATGTGCCACATGCTCTTTTGTGACTGGCTTCTTTAACTTAGATTAAGGTTTTCAAGGTTCATCCACGCTGTAAGTATGAGTCAGTACCACATAACATTTTATGGCTAAGTAATATTCCACTCTAAACTGACTGACATTTGGATTGCTTCCATCTTTTACTCCCACCCTCTTTTTCTAGAAAGGGGGTTTGTTTCAGATGTACTTTATGTCCTGTTATCATTTGTTCTCTCATAAAGGCACGTTAGAATTTAATTGCTGCTGTGACAATATTATATGGGAGATGAAACCTCTGAGAGGTGATTAGGTCATGAGGGTGGAGTGCTCATGACTTGGATGGATAAATGTCATTATCTCCAGGGTCAATTAGTCATGGCGGGAGCGGCTCTGTAATCAAAGCCAGCTCTCTCTTCTTCCAGGTCTCAGTCTCATTTTCTGTCTCTCTCTTTCCTTCTCACGTGCTTTCTTGCTGTGTGATGCCTCAAGGCAGCAAGAAGGCCCTCATTCATACTGATGTGTGCTGTTGGTCTTCACAAACCTCCAGAACCATGAGAAATACATTTCTTTTTTATTCAGCTACCCAGTCTTAGGAATTCTATTATGGCAGCAGAAGACAACAAACCAAGACATTTCCTCCACTTAGTGAACCTCTTCAGAATGTGCCTCTTGATTTTTTTTTTTTGGTACTGGGGATCGAATTCAGGACCTTGCACTTGTGAGGCAGGCGGTGGCACCAATCCCCAGCCTGCTCCTGATTCTTTTGATCACCTACGGACAACTCAACTGATAAGCATCACAGACCTTGGAAAAGATGCTAACTCCTAAGGAAATCCAAGTTTCCCTAGGAACTTCTTTCAGGTGTTTCTGTACAGTTTTTTTTTTGTCAGTTTTTCTCTTCCCAGAAAACTTCTTCAATTTTCATTAAATAACACTTCATTCAAGTTTTTTTTTTGGGGGGTGCACCAGGGATTGAACCCAGGGCCTTCGCACTGAGCTACATTCCTAGTTCTTTTTTTTTAAAGTTGTTGTTGTTTTTTTAAGTTTTGTTTTTGTTTTTTTGACACAGGGCTTCCCTATGTAGTCCAGGCTGGCCCTGAACTCATGGTGATCCTCCTGCCTCAGCCTCTTGAGTGACAGACTTACAGGCGTGTGTTACCCATGTATGGCCAAATACATATATTTATTAGTACTGGGGATTGAACTCAGGACCTTTCACTTGCAAGGCAGGCAGGCGGTGGAACTACCAAGCTAAATCCCCTGCCTGCCCCCCCGATTTTTTTTTCAAATTTTAAAATTTTGAGACCCAGTCTCACTAAGGTCTCAGTGAGGCAAGAGGGTTACAAATTCAAGCCCAGCCTGAGTGACTCAGTGATTTAGCAAGACCCTGTCTCAAAATACAAAAAAGGATGGGGAGGGCTGGGGATTTAGCTCATTGATTTTGGCACCTGCCTTGGAAGTACAAGGGCCAGAGTTTGATCCTGGTACAAAAAAAACAAAAATAAAAACAAACAAACAAAAAAGGGATGGGGATGTGGTTCAGTGTGAAGGCCCTGGGTTCAATCTCCAGTACCAAACATAAAGGAAAGTTTTCTTCAGCTCTGAGATACTTCCTCCCTCCTCAGCTCCCACAGCCTCACTACAGAATTTAATGTAATGATCTGAGGGTCTCTGTCTTTCCTTAGACTGTATCTCTGATCTGTGTTCATCTTCGGTAAATACCTCAGAGATAGGTTTATTTAAGAGCTCTTTCATTATGTTAGCACTTTCAATGTGGAATGCATAATCAATTGAGATCTTTCAATGTAGCCTGACCTAGTGTGTATGTCTGCAATCCCAGCTACTTGAAAATCCTCTGTGCCACAACGAATGAACAAACAAACCAGAAACAAAAATAAAAAAACCTTAAACATGCAATTTTACTACAGTATTGACCACTTTCTACTTACTATTCTGTAATGGTACCATATCTTTCTTGTATGCATCTCAGAGTGCCTGTATTTGTCTTACAGTATCTTCCCAGGAAGTCGATTTGCTTACTTTACCTCCACTTACCCACAAAGGACAGGGGAATAGGTAGGCACACCTGGGACTCCATCAAGAGCCAGATGGGTCATGCACTGAGTGAATATTTAAGGTTGTGCATTTATTTTCTTACTCAGTTCACTAGGTTCTAGTTCTGAATATTCCGGGAACTGATACGCTTATTCCTCTTTAAATAGAGTCCAGGGGCTGGGGATTTAGCTCAGTGGTACCACCGCCTGTCTCACAAGTGAAAGGACCCAAGTTTGATCCCCAATGCCAATAAATAAATAAATAAATAGATAGAGAGATAGATAGATAGATAGTCTATCTACAAAAATGGGTAAAGAACAATAGCTTTGCGTGTTAGGGCACGGTCATGTTACCCTCACGGACTCTAACCAAAACTCCACAGAATAAGAGAAAACAGAGGGGTGCTCCAAAAAGTCTTCCCAAGTTATTCCTATAGTAGAAAGTCAACATTAATGATATTCCATGTAGTTCAGACTGGCCTTAAACTCACTGTGTAGCCCAGGCTGGCTTTGACCTTCTGGTGATCTTCCTGCCTTAGCCTCTCAAGTGCTGGGATTTTCAGGCATAGGCCACCATGTCTGAACGATATTCTCATACAAGGCAAACACACAAGTCACAATGATTCTATTGGCTTAGGATAGTTGACTTTTGTTGTTGTTGTTACAACAGTGGCAGGTGTGCTGCCACTGAGCTAAATCCCTGGCCCTAACTTTTTTTGTTTTTATGGTACTGGGGATCAAACTCAAGGGTTCCCTATCATTGAGCTACATCCTTATCCCTACCTTCCTTTTAAACTTTAAATTGCCCAAGCTGGTCTTGAACTTGTGATCTTCCTCCTGCCTCAGCCTCTCAAGTGGCTGAAGTTACAGGCATGTACAACCTCACTCAACTCTAATAGGTGACTTTTATTGACGCCTTCTGGGTAAGTAGAGCACAAAGCCCAGGCTCCAGGACAGGCACAGAATCAGTCTTACCTCTTCATGTGTTTTCATGTGGTAGGCAATCACTTTGGAGGTAAGTCTCAGAGCCACACCCTGGATTTCAGATCTGGAAAAAGAAAGGGAATAACGCCCCCATACCCCCCAGAAGTTATGGTTTGTGTTTATATATCTTCCCAAAGCCTCATGAGGTCCTAAGTGGTGCTTTACAGAGGTGGCAGGATCAAGAGTGTGTGATGGTGTGTGATTACTAACCAAATTAATCCACTGAATGGTTTGGCATAGTTCTGGGTGTGGACAATGAGAAGACCCACCTTGGGTGTGAATGCTACCTGCCCTAAGGCTGTGTAGCCCGGATCAAATATAAGGGAAAAAAGAGGGTTGCTGTCATTGATAGCTGCTTTTTTGCTTGCTGCTTTTGCTGCCTTCTGCCTGCCATGAACTGTTTCTCCTCTGCAATACCCCTCTGCCATGTCACCCTGGCATGGAACTAGGTATGGACTGAAACCTCTACAAACTGTGATCTGAAATAAACTTTTCTTCCCTTAATTTGAGTGTTGGGTATTTTGTCTCAGCAACAAGAAAAGTAACTAAGACATCCCACACACAAAATTAAATCAAAAATATTTTATACATAGACTTTTTTGCAGGTAGCCTATAATCCAACCCTATAAATCTCCATATCTTGGCTGCTCAAATGCCTCCAGAAACAATTACCTTTTGGTTACTAATGTGAAGGTCTAATATCATTCGATTGCTTGAGTTTACAACATAGCTGGCTCCTAGGCTGAGCTGTAGAAAGAATACGGGACTTGAGCTCTTAGGCCAGGATGGTAAGAGGGTTCTCTGCACAATGACTGATGAGACCTACATCCCACCTATGCTGCACAGGGAGCACTGGGGCAAACCTGTCATTGGAAGCAATATCCATGGTCCAGATCAAAAACTCCTTGGGGGTTAGATGGATACAGCGCTCTGTGAGGGGAAGCCATTCACTGGGGTCCATGCAATGGAGAATCCTTAGTATCTGTGTGAGACAAATCCAGGGCAGGAGAGAAAGGGTGAGGAAGAAAGAGAGACAGAAACAGAGACAGAGAGAGCATATATATAAATACTCAGGGAGAAGTCTCCAGGTGGTAAATAACAACCACTTGTACTGACAAGGGAGTCTTTCTTTCAAAAGGCTCCCACTGATTTATTCCCCCATAATGTCTCTAATAGACTGAGTCAGGGCACAGTAATGACCAACTTAAGGGAACCTAATGACCTTTAATTGAAGCTACATGCCCAGGTTTCTAGGCCAGTGCCCTTTCCTTTTGACTACACTTCCCTGGTGACCATCTGCCCCCAAACAGGCATGTCAGCAAGATGACTTCTGAAACACTCTATGGCTAATGTTCAGTGATCTGTTTCTTTGGTTTTGGGACCTTTTTGTTTTGAACTTGGGAACCTTGTACTTGCAAGGCAGGTGGTGGAACCACTGAGCTAAATCCCCAGCCACCATTGGTCTGTTTCTTAAACATCCTAAGAATGGCTAGTTCTGAATTTTGTTCATCTCTGCTATCAGTGCCACCATCAGCAGCAGTTCTTCTTAGTGTCCTTGCCCTTCTATGCATGAAGCCAGCCCAAGAACCATACAATGAGGATCTTTATCCTTCAGATGCCAAGTTTGTTGCCCTCAGAGAGCCCAAACCTTATCTTGCCTTCCTGATGTTGGGAGTGGAAGTGGACCATCAGTCCAGCAGACTTTACCTTGCAGAGACACTCCGGGTGGCTTTCCTTCATGGCCAACTTCAGGAAGTCTTCTCCCATATTGTGCAGCAAATATGAAAGTCCCTGCTCGCCCAATTGAGAGGATCCTGCTGAGAACCTTTCCAATAGGGCTTCTAGGGTGAGCAAACGCACTTCAGGAAAGGAAGAGCCCAGCAGCTGTGAGAAGGTGATGGGCACATCCCTTGTCTGCTCTCTGGCCTTGGCTAGCACTGCCCACACTGCAGCGATGGCTAGTTTGGTGAGGCTCTCGAGGTACTGGGGCAGGCCTGGTACCTTAAACGTACAGGGGAGTCCTGTTATCAGCTCTGATCCTGAGACAATCCCTCTGACTTCCTCCCAGAAGCCAAGTCTCTCCAGAACTAGAAAGCAAAAAAAAAAAAAAAAAAAGGCAAGAGGTAATCACTCAACACAGTAAGTGACTAGCACACTGAGGTTTTCCAGGCCTAGAAACAATTATTGAGTCAATAATTCAGACCCCACAAGAGGGATGAAGGTATTACCACCAGAAAACGTGAACTCATGACCTCCTGAATCACCAAGCCTCAAATGTGACCAGAAGAACAAGCTTCCTTTGGGGCTCAAATTCCTCTACAGCACACTAACCTGGTGCTCACGAGACAGCTTATTCAATTAGCAGGTCTAATTATCCAAATTATTTTTGGAGTTTGCACTCACTGGCCTACTTTTGCATTCTGAGGTGCCCAGCGACAGCTCCACCAACCTCTGATTACACTGACTGCACTCGCTGGCGTCTCCAGGGAACCACCCCTACTCCCTCCCCAGGTAATGGGTTCAGCTTCTCTCACTAGTGCAGCTGCATGCCTTTGGATGAGCCTCATCTGTGCTTCCCACTTGCCTTGAGAACACAGCACTTGAAGCTGCTGCAGCGTTTACCCCATCATAATGTACAGATTCCAGCCCTAACCTTACCCCCAAAGTTTTCCACAAAATACCTCACTTTTATTACTATTTTTACACGGCTCTAGCATATTAATAGTCTTCAGAAACAAAAGACCATTATATTTGTACTACTTTGTTTTTAGTAGTGTTACTTCCATTTATAATATATAATAATTCTCCATCATTATTCCATGTTTTGCAATTTACCATATGAACAAAATTATTAAATACCAAGCATCATATATATTTGTTACACTAGGATTAGAGACAAGTTCTTTTTGGAAATAACTTCAGAGTTGTTTTTTTTTTTTTTTTTTTC